CTCCATATTTATGCCAGATTGTTTAATTGTCTCTTTAATTTGGTAGGCCCATTTTGACTCCACAATAAAGTAATGAATATTCCCATAAATCCCTTAGCACATAAAGACAATCCCTCAGGCCCCCATGGCCATGTCTCAATACCCTAAGGAACGGAGAGAAAACAAACTCTACCCACTTCACCCTAGTGTACCGAGACCCGATAGCTATATGTTGTGTCCCAAAGTTCCCAATGGTCAAATGTTCACAACAGTAGACATGCATTGTTTAAACATATATTAATATTGGAACTCGTTATGTCACTGCTGTGGCCCATATTAGGGGGCAAAGGTTGTTGGACACAGAGAAAAAATCCGCTTGGAAAAAATTGCTTCCAACAGAAACCGCCGCTGACCAACGGAATACTACCAGAATCTCAAAGCCCTTGACGGATGGCAACGGAATGCTAGAAAAGGCAACAGAACAAAAATGCTTTTACAAAAACCGGTGGCTACAAACACCCCCTTGACAGACAGCTCCAGAGCCAAAAAGTTGAAAGTTGATGTGGCATAAATGGCTACGGGAACCCAACCCCGCAAAATAACAGAAAATCGACGGACGGATTGTTTGTGTTCAAAAAAGTTACAGAAGTAAACTAGCAGAAAAAAAGCTGGACGGCCACCTCTATTTGAGTTACCCCATAGGAATTGGTTGGGGTTGCGGTTATTGGCCCTTTTGGGTTGATTGACCCCTAGGGATGGACCTTGTAGATGACCCTTGTTCTTGTCGTATGGTCCGGTGAGTGACATTGTATAAAGCGGTGGGGGTGTGCAGTGTAGCCACCCCCAGTCTGTAAGAAATCTTGCCTTGCGACCGATGCACCAAGCAGGCCACCTCGTGTGACGAGTGTGGGACCTGAAAGTCGGGTGAGTGAATCTCCTTTGGGAGAGGAACTCAGCATCCTTGCGAAGGGGAACGGTATCTATGTACATCGCATACAATTCCCAAATCCGTTGTATGCACATGTCTCATTCTATTGCGCATACCCCGAAGGGTCATGCCATGTACCGGCACAGATCTTTGCACTTGAAAATGGCAAAGCAAGATAAGTTTGCTTCCCAGCCCTGTGCTGCTGTGGACCGAGGGAGGTCCACTACAACACATGATGGATGGAGGCAAGTGGCAAAATTCAAGCACGCAACCATGCTACTACAATGCAATGCATAAAACACATCCAGGACAACATCCTAGATGAGGGTAAGAAAGCATCCTTGGTTACTTCCATTCTATAGATTCCTGTAAGAATATTCCCAATCAAGGCCCAATATATGACAATGATAAAGTCTAAAAATCCACATACATTGCAAAAGCTCCAAATTGCAGCCATCCTTTCACTCTCTTTCCACCACTGTGGAATGTGCACAACACAACTAATTTTAACTTCAAAATGCAGTAATTCGAAAGAATTGAAATTCGAGTGCGGGTAGCCCGTGGGCCGGGGTTAACCCACAGGAGCGCCACGTGCCTGGAACGCGCGGAGCTCTGGCCTAGTATGTTTATGCCAAATTTCACCGACACCATACACATGCTGCATGCTATCCGCCCTCACACCCAACTTCCACGCCACGTATTACTGCGGAAGGGGCAGAGCGTCTGGCCGAGGGCCAGACTCCCGCAGCAGCACAAGAACTTGGCCGAAGTGTCAGCGATCCGCAATTATCTAGCGTGTCACGAACACGGCCAGTGATAATTGATTGATTGACTGAAATTGAATGTGGAAACATGTGCCCCGCAGGCGTCACGCCTGGTCAGCCGCCCCGTCACGCCGAACGGTAGAACCGCCCTCCGGATATGGAGTAGGAGCGGCAAGGGGCCGACGCGTGTGGCTGCCCGCGACCCAGTTCGCACGGAATTTTGGCTGCCTGGTGGGCGAACTACTTTGGGGAGGCCATCCGCGCACGACGCCGTCTGCAGGGGGTCCCCGCTCCCGTCCGCCCGTCTGCTGCGCGGCAGTTGGTTTCCTTTGTCGCCCCTCTCGTGCCGACTGCCCCTCCGCCGTCACGCAGCTCTACTGTGTGACGCGGGCGTTGGCGGGCGCCATTAAGGGGTTGGCTGGTGGTGGCTGGCTGCTGGGAGCGGATAAGGGATACGGCTGAGAGGTGGGCGGCTTCGGGATGGACAGGACGCGCAGGCTGGGCGGTGGTGAGCCCCTGGGCGGCGCCGGCCTGCGCCGGGGGCCAACAAGCCCTCGTTCCCCGAGGGGCGGCGATCCGCAGCACTCCAAGGGGCGCGCGGTGGTTCGGCGTGGCGCGGCGGGCATCCAGATCAGGGCGTACCTGTGCGAGGCGCCCGATTCGCCCGCCGTGCGCTGGGACGACGACTTCGACGAACAGTACATCACGGGGCGGCTGCTGGGCAAGGGCAGCTTCGGCGAGGTGTTCCTGGCGGTGGACAGGTACACGGGGCAGAAGGTGGCGGTGAAGGACATGTGCGCCACGCGGGGCCGGCTGACGGCCGAGAGGACGCTTCAGAAGATAACGAACGAGGTGGTGGTGATGAAGGCCGTGCAGGCCTGCCCCGCGATCGTGGGCCTGCTGGGGACCTTCAGACAGGGCGATCGGTACCGCATCGTGATGGAGCACTGCGGCGGGGGCGACCTGAAGTATCACCTCAAGGTGGGGAGAGCCGGAGTCGTCGGCGCGCGGCGGCCGCTCGGGCCGCGCCGGAGCCGACATTGATCTCGTCGGGGCTGCTGGGAGGCCGCGACCCCTGCAGTCTCCAGGCCCCTGCTGCGCCAGGCCAAGGCTGTGTTTGCGGGCGTCTGGCTTTGAGGCGCCTCGCGCAGTGAATCTGCGCTTCCCGAATTATTACTCCGGAAAAGCATGTCTTTGCACGGCGAAACATTATGGTTAAGGCTGTTGAAATGACGTTGTGCCGTCTTGCTGTCCGACGTGGTGGCTGGTCGCCCGCAGAGCGGTGGGGCCTTCTCCGAGGCGCAGGCCGCGCTGGTGGCCTACGAGATCCTGAAGGTCATTCGCGCCTGCCACGATTGCGATATCGTGCACGGAGACGTTAAGACGGCGAACTTCGTCCTGAAGAGTTCGCGTGCCAATCCGTTCAGCAAGGAAGCGGCCCCCGGCGTGCTGAAGAAAGGCTGGATGAAGGCAATCGATTTTGGTTGCAGCCAATTTGTGGGTGAGTTGTGGCGGACTGTCGACTTGTGGGAAGCCACTCACTCCGGCACTTGCAGCCCTTGTGGGCGATGAGGCTATATCTGGGCATCGCTACCGCATGTGTGTGATCAGCTATCCAATCCTTAGGAAATGCAGATGATGTGCAGAGGTGGTTTCAACCACTTTGGGTTTGGAATTCCACAATTGTGCATCCCGGAAAGAGTCCTTGCATCTCTCACCCATACTTTGCACTCATCCAGGAAGTTGACAGTATGGTTGTGTGCTACAGACGACTTCACGAGGATGCGTTCGCGTGTGGGCACACCTGTTTTCATGTCACCTGAGGTGTTCCAGAGGAACTACAGCTTTGAGAGTGACCTGTGGAGCCTGGGAATTTTGCTCTACCAGCTGCAGGCTGGCAGGTTTCCATTCTGGTGAGTGTGGTTCTACACTGGTTGGTTTCTGGAAACATTCTACGTCCTCCCAGTGTGGTGGTGGACTTGTGTGCCCAGTTTCTTGGTTGATGTGGCCTCACTGTGTTGCTGCTCCACTGGCAATATTCTGTAGACGATGCGAAGAGGATCGAAGGTTGCGATATGCTTCTGAATTTGTAAGTACTGATTCTATGCAATGCAACCGCCTGTCCCCTGTAGCCTTCTGTATGATGTGTTTGCTTTGTTGCTGAGCAGTGTGTCCTTACAGAATGGCGGCATTGCCATCTGGCATTCTATCAACCCATGTGTCACGTAGGTTATGAAAAGGCACACTGCTCATGCAAGCCACTGAGCAAGCTCTGTTGCTCCCCAATCGATACAATTAAGATTGTTCTGTCTGTTTCCCACTGTCACTAGGAGCTCTGCAGAGGCAGGGTCTGTCAGCACAGTCCATGATGTGATGGCGGCTGTGAGCACCAGGGAGCCAGACTTTAGCTATGGACCATGGCTAAACATGTCCTCAGATGGGCTCGATTTCATGCAAGGGTTGTTGGACAAGAACTACCTGTCTCGAATGACTGCTGATGAAGCTTTCAGCCATCCTTGGATCACAAGGAACATTCACCAAGACAGCCATGGGGACGTCATGTTGAACAATATCGTCCCTACAGGAACAGTCCTTGGGGAGAGCTCCACTCCTGCAACAGATCTGGTGGTGACAACAACAGAGTTGACAGTGCCTCCTGTTTCGCCGATGGAGGCTGAAGCGCATAGGTGGGCTGCAGGTGAATGAAACGCCGCCACCATCGATGGTCGCAGCGATGCTTTTGGCTGGTGGGCGTCGTGGCTTGTTGGAATTTTCTGGGATATGGTGCACTGTTTGGTTTTGGGGGAAGCCTGTCAGGGCTGCATTTGCCCCTGCGGGCGTTTTTTGGATGAATTGGTGGCCGTTTCTGAGAAGATGAGAGTTGTTTGAAACAAGCATTTGTATCATAGTCGGTGGTAGCTCCTTTCTGATTGGAGCAGGTGTTGTGGACTTGTGGAGTTGGATCAGGAAAACCGTGTTGCTTTCTTTTGGAGTTATTGATGGAGGCAGGCAAGATGTGGTTGGAATGGGGTTGCCCTTTTTTTATAGAAACTAGATCTTCCAAGGTGAAAAAACAGTTTCCTTATGTGCTATTGAACATTTCCTAGGGGCTGAGCCTGGGTACATCATCCAGATTTGAGATCGAGTGAAGTTGGGCTGAGGCACAGCTGCAGTGCGGGAGCCGTCCTCTGCCCTCGTGTCAATGGATGCCTGTGGCAGGGCGGTGAAGTTTTGGATTCGTTCAGGGCGCCCAGCGATAGCAGGCGCCGCTGAAAACTTTTACTTTGCAGTCCATGCTGTTTCAGTTTTGACGATGGCAGCAATCCTGGAAGGGGAGCTCGCAAGGGGAGCTCGGGGCTTGCCAGAATTTGATTGTGCCATCAAGCAGAGAAGAAAAAAGGGGCCGGCTTGGCCTGCGTTTTTATTTTAATGCATGGGAGCAGGCACTTTGTTGTCTAGATTCCAAGCACCTGCTGGAGATCCAGGATTGCCGTGGAGGTCAAGTAGTCTCACAACGCGATATTGATGTTATTGTATGTTTCGTTGGAGATGGAATTGATGCGTTGACCAGATCCACAAATCTAAAATGCACGAGACGGTGATGGTTTTGCGGTTTTGGGGATCTGCCTGGAGTTCCCGAGGGGGTGTGTGCCTTCAATGCACGAGATTGGGAAGAGTGGTGTTGAAATGCAGTGCGATTTTGCTTGGATGGGATTGTGTAATGATGACACGGTTTCGACATCCTGTCATGTCTTTCATGTCTGCCCCGTGCCGCACCTGCCATGGCGCCATGCTGACAGTCCACCATTCGACAGACGTCCTCGGCCACTGGGCGCTGGGCCCCCTTACATGCTGGAGGGCAAGGGGCAATGCATTGGTGAGTCTTCATGCATTGCAGAATATCTCTGTAACCCAGGAGCGTCGATCAATCCCTATCCGGGACGGGCCCCCTTCGCTTCTCGTCGGTCAAACTGGCAGCAAGGAAATTTAGGCCTGCCCCCTCGCACATTGTTTTGTGTGTCATCACAAAGGGCTTCGGTCTGAACAGCACTGCTTTTGTCATCGCGCGTGCAACTGCCTCGCTGCAGTTAAGTGCCAATGCCGTATGGACAACAGTGCAGCTGTGCCAAACTTTCTGCCCGCACTCTGGCGCACGAGGGGCAATGTCGTCTGTTCTTCGCCGTCCTGTCAAAGCATGACATCAAAGGAGCGCGATTCAACATCCTTCGATGGCTGCGCTCCAGTTTGGGGCGGTCCTGAAGTCCATGGAAGCCCAGGAGCCACAGAAGATGCCCCAAATCTGCTGACCAACAATGTAGGACGCGATCCAATAGATATTGAGCACGGGGTGCCTTAAAGAGTTATGCCGGGCACAAAGAAAATTGTTAAATAATTGGCGTGTTGACCGAACCCCATCATGGCGACTCGCGAACACTTTCTACGACACCGTGTACTGAGCAGCGTTTGAACGGTGGGTCAATCTTGAAATATGGCTAACGATGGGTATCTAGCCTAAAAGACGCCGTGCACTGCACTGGAAGCCAGCACTGCCTGACGAATGAAAAAGGGAAAAGAAACGAGAAAGAAAACACTCCGAAGTTTGGTCAGACAAGGGGGTGAGAACGTGGACGGAGGGAGGACACAGAGTCAGGGTTTAGCTGAAGAAGCTGCCTGTGTCCCCATCTTGTTTCATCCTAATTGGTCGTTTCCCCAGAGTGGCCTGGGTCGAAGGTGCCCTGGGAGATCCTGAGTGCTGATGGGCTCAGGATGAGGCCGTCAGTGGGGATGAAAGTTACCTGCCGTGTCCTGGTTCTAATGAACGATACAAATAGTCTGTTCCAAACAAGGAAAGACGTGTGACCCGGGCGCTGACATTACAAACGGGGCCTCATGCGCCGTGTGTAACTTCGTTCAGCAATTGACCGAAACACTCGCGCACTGATCAGAGGCACAAGTGACCGTGCGTGCAGTCTATTGGCAACCCCTGCGTTCTTGCGTTAGGCAATGACGAAAATGTACACACACAGGCACTGGGATCGTGTGTCTTGCACCGTCACTGTCGTACCTCCTTCCGAAACGCACATGCAGCTGCCAACTGGTGGGGACAAGGCGCTCTGGGTGCACCTTGGGCAAAGGGGCACCATCGTGCCTTGTCATCATGCAGAGCAGATGCCCTTAACCTGTGCAACTAGTCACTGCACTAAATCCACACGCACCTGCCTGTGCCCCAGGATGGGCGGTGGCAGGGGAGTGGGGAAAGTGCTGGCAGCTATTTTAGAAGAAAGAAAACGGGAGGTAGAGACAGAAACGAAACACGCCAATAACGAGGAACAGCACTAACTAGCGCTGTCCATTTCACTTGGGGTTTGTCAATGTCACTGACATGTAGAGAGATGCAGATTGTCAATCTTTCTATTGGAAGGCTTCTATGCTTAGGGAAAGCTGATGTCACATAACCAACAGGGGGCTTCCAATTTTCCAGCATCTGCAGTCATTCTGTCTGTGCCATGAGCAGGCTGAGCCATGCTTGGGGCGTCCATGGGAGGCGCTAGTGCCTAAACAGTTTATGTTCAACCTAAACTGTTTATGCTCAACGCGGGGACGCTGGCACAGCGATGATCATTCAACCCCAGGGCTCTAACATGCACTTACTGAGCACATTTGGCTGCTAGAATATGGGAATCAATGAGGTGCTCATAAATTCATCGTCAACGGAATCTGTTGATGAGAATATGATGAGCTCCCCAAACATTTTCAAAAGTCTACCCGTGGATTCCAACCCAGTATCGATCGTTTCGAACTGCTGTGAACGGCGCTTCTACTCCGATATTGAGCCACATCGTGTGTTTCCCAGCGGCTGGGCAGCGCCACCCGCCCCACCAACCCCACTACCTGTGCCTAGAGCCACGCTGCAAAACCGTCTGTGGTCGCGAAACAGCTGGGATCTCACCTGCTCCGCTCAGCACCAAGCTCCCAATCAGCCCGATCACAGATTTTGACACTTGTAGCCATTCTTTCGACAGCACAAAGCGTTGCTACGCACGCGCACCTTCTGCCTCCCAATGTTCTGCCTGGCATCGCCGCTTAGGGCGCATAATCACGAATCCCGATTCCCCTCAGTTGGACTGCGCCGACGACCTTCCTGACGCCTGTCCTGGCGGGCGAATAACCTCGGACTGACGATCCGCGGCCCCCGGGTCCCTTTCGGTGCGTCTGCTCCTTGCCGCGAGGGAGTTGCGCTGCTCCAGCGCGAGGTGCTGGAGAGCCTTATTCCTAAGCGTCATTTTCCAGTACTTCGACCACAGGCGGTCATGTTTCGATCTCAATCCCAGAAGCTCGGACCGAGTCTGCTCGTCTGCAGGCCGGTCACATTTTACGTGCGTGTGATGCACATCCCTGGCCTTGTGCGGTATCTTGCGGCATCTGCATGGGAGAGCTTTTCTTGCGTCCTTCTCTCCTTCAGACACCGCGGATGGCTGATACCCGACAGGAGGCCGGACGGCGCTGATCTGCACAGAAGCTTCATAGATCCGCCTTGTGTATCGCCTGACCTGCTGTTGGTCTTCGTCACTTAGTTCTTCAGCGCCTGGGAAGTCCGGATGTCTCCTGGGGGCGTCTCCTTTGCCTCGTTGTCGCCTCGTAGCCTTCAGTCGATTTTCCAGCCTGGAATTGCGATGCGCCAAAGATTTCACTTGGTGTTTCAACGCTGAAATCAGGGGCTCGATGGAGGCTGATCCGGGGAAGCTGTTGAGAAGTTCAGCTGACATCTGAGGCTCGGAACTGTTGGAGCAAATATCATCCCCATCGGCGCATTTCTTGCTCATTCCTTCTCCTTGGTTGGCACAAGGACCGCTGCCATCTCTTTTATTCCCGGCGTCCACAGGCTTGCTCTCACGGTGGGCCTCTGCCGGTGTCGCCATAGCTGGATAACGATGGGAATCCTGTTGCGGGAAGTGGAGGGCATTCTCGCGGCTTCCGCCTGATGATCCAGCCACCCCGGCGGGCCCGCCATTGGCTGCCCCCCTTAAAAATTCACCTTGTTGAATGATTTCGGCGAGCCTGGCAACTCGAGACTGCAAATCTTCAATTTTAGCACGCTTCACAGCATCCACCTTGCGCAAACTTTGAATCTCGTTCCGCAGTGTGTCGTTTTTGGTCTGAAGCTCGCCCACAAGAGACTCACTCTCCTTGAGCTTCTTGGACAACTCGCTGACCTCTGCCGCGTAAGCTGCTGCCTTGCCAAGCTGAGCCCTGATTTCGCACAGCTGGCCTTCATACTGAGATATCTTTTTCTCTGCCTCTATTATCTTGTGCTTCGTTGCCAGGTGCTCTTGTCTCATTTCAAGCGAAAAATTGGTGGACCCCATGGGCATCCATTGTGTCTCGGGGCCAGTCCCTCTGTTGGTTGCAGCCCAGGCCAGGTCTCCCATTCTATCGCAATCTGGCAGACTCATCTTCTGATCGGAGTGTCCTTCTCTGCTCCTCACTGCTCTTGCTCAATGGCTCCCGCAATGGCCCTTCCAACAGGATCTTGGCCACCACTGTTGCTCATCTCCCCAAATTTCGATTTCCTGAGCGTCAAGAGTCCCTGCATGTCGTCAACAATTCGGACCTCAGTCAAACTACTTTCTCGATGCATTCTTACGAAATTCTGGGGC